CATCTACATAAGAACATATGTACTCTAAATATCTCATACACACACTCACACACACACCCGTGAATTTGAATTTTTTGGTTACAAGTAACAGGAAATCCAACTTGAAGAGGCCTAAAGCATAAAGGGAATTCATTGGGTTCACAAAAGGTTTATTTTCCTCCATCTTTCCTCTATGTCCTAAGGCTGGTCCTCTTTATGTTTATAAAATGCTGCCCAAAACTTCCACCTTGAGGTGTAGCAGGAAGAGTATGTCTTTTTAGGTCACTTCTGTGAAAGTGTGAGAAAGCTTTTTCTCAAAAACCCTAATGGACTTTTTCTTACTTCTCATTGTTTGAATTGGGTTTCAAGCCCATCTGTAATCTAATCCCTGGAACTAATGAGATGAAATATGAAGATAGCCTTAAATTAATTCCTGAGGTTGGTGGGTTATTGGGTGGGGCCCAGTGTCAGGTTTTCCAGAAGCATTTAGGCTGCAGAGGGCAAAGGCAGATGCCTGAAGGAAAATCAGATTCTATTACCAAGAGGTAAATTGGCTGAATCCTGGGTGGCCAGATTAATACATGTCTCTGTCCCCTGGCTGCCACACATGTACACACACACATCATGGTTGTCAGAATGTTCACAAATCAAAGTTTTCCTTTATTATTGATTTTCTTTCTGCCCTTCAGAATATGTTTTGACATATTCTAAGAAACTGAAAGCACTGTTATAACTAATTAATTTTTGCATTTTCATGCATGAGAAGCTGGTGTTACCACATTGAGTTAATGTGATTCCAGCCTAAAGCAATAAAATTGATGTTTTGTATAGCCGGGAAGGGCTCATAGGAAGTAAATATACAATTGCAATTAGAATTATTGAAATATTAAAAATAACTTGCAGGAGTCAGGGGCCCTGTTTGGGAAGCACTTTTATAAAATGTGGTATTTTAGTTCAAAATTTGACTAGATCTTTCCTGGCCAATTCAGGATGAATCAAGATGAATAATCCTTGGCACAAACAACTACAGGTAGCTTTGCCCTTTGGTATGCCTCACCCCCCTCTCCACCCTCCTTCACTTTCCCTTTGACTTCCTTTCTTCTCCAATGATAAGATATCAGTAAAGAGGCTGCCTTGCTGGAAAACAGTGCTTTGAAGTCATTAAATTGCTCTCCTGGGCTTTTTATTTAAAGCATAGCTGTTATTCAGAGTGTGTTTATCAGAAACTCCAATCTCAGTGGTTTAGCAAAATAAATAAAAGTTTATTTCTCATTCGTACCACAGTGCAATGAGGGCTGCTGCAGGGCTGGTGGGTTCTGTGCTCCATGCAGTGATACAGGGAATGAGGCTCTTTCCATCTAGGAGTTCTTAGGGCCTCGAAGTTTCCCAGTGGAGCCTGTATATCCAGCTGGTGGATGACAGAAGAATGAAGACACATGGATGAAACGTGAATGACTGTTTAGGCAGATTTTAGTGAGTCAGCCTGGAAGTGGCCCATATTACTTCTGCCCAGTTCCACTGACCAGGTCACAGTCATATGGCCACACCAATTTGCAAGGGAGCTGACAAACGTAGTCTGACAGTGCCAGATGGAAAAGGAAATAGAATTGGTTATCACACACAGGTATCTTTGCTATAGAGAGACAAAGGCTCATTGAAAACCTTACTGTTTTACCTAACACAGGTCCACATGAACATTTTGAATGTCAGAGTTTTTGAATCTCAGCAATTCAAATTGGGAGGGTCAAGGTCATGATTAATAGAGCTGAATCCTTATTAAAGAACAGTTTGTTTTGTAGTTAACAAGGACACACATTTCTGCAAGATTTTTCCCCTTATAGGACACTGAATTTGTAGTCTCTTTGCACACGCAGGACTTCTAGAAAGAGCACACTTGTAAGCAAAAACATAATGCAAGCAACTTATATTATTTGCCTTCAGCTTGGGAAGTAGACAGAGGGTGATGGCTCTCATGAATAGCAGGACTTGTGCTGTTCTTAAGCAGTACCTTTGTAAAGTGGCAGGACCTCAGAGAGATTACTGTGTGGTTGTAATGAAGGTAGTTGAACATAAAACCTCAGATTTATACCCTTGGAAAACAATCCTGTGCTTAAAAGGCAGAATTAGTGGACTTGAACGGGCTATAGTAGGTTCACAGTTTGGCGAACTTGGCATTAACCAGTGTGGACCCAAATTGGAAGGTGAAGAAATAGGGACAGCAGGCATTTTTTTTTTTTTGTATTTGGCCTTCACAAGAGCTAAATGGAGAGGACCCAAATAACAAAAAATTAAATTACCAGCCAGTTTTCCTGAATGGGGCCATGAAGTGAAAATTCTTTTTGTATGAAGAAAATAAAGAAATGCAGTAATTCTTTCTCACCTGATATTGCAGCTACAAATTCATGTCTTAGAGTCATAAGGGCCTTCATGCAAGGAACATCAGTGAAAAGAGCTCTCTGAAAGGGGAGGAGGATTCTGAGGACTTGTGGACAGCAATGGAAGACCCTGAAAGAGGGAGAGAGAGGGTACCAGGAGAGCTATGCTTCTTAAAGTGTGGTCTGCAAACTCCTTGTGGTCCATAAGGGTCATAAGACCCTTTTGGGGATCCACAATGTCAAAACTGTTTTCATAATGATACTAAGACATTTGCCTTTCCAGTCTCATCTCTCGTCTTCTATGAGTGCACAGTGGAGTTTTCCAGAAGCAACAAATAAAATAAGAAGGAGGTATGAGCATCCGCCTGGCTTCTATTAAACCAGGCACGGAAGAGATTAGCAAAAATGCAATCAATGCCACTTTTCTCACTACATATTTTTTTGAATTATATGTATGTGTGTGTTTTATAAAATATGTTGTTTATGTTAACATGCTTTTCATTGCCATTTTAAATAAAGTCAACAATAAATATTTTAGAAAATTCTCAGGTTTAATTTCTAATATTGATAAATCTAACCCACATTAAGAAAATATACGTAATTTAGGAGCCTTAATGATTTTTAAGAATGCAAAGAGGTCCTGACACCAAAAAATTCGGGAAAGCTGTATTACAGAATCCAATCAAAGTTGAGAAAAATTAAATTCTGCCATTTGTGGACATCTAGCTGCAGAGTGTAGATTGCTTTTTCTGGAGAGCATCTTCAGAAGGGTAGTAGCAATTAGTTAGGAGCTATTGGAATCGACAGCTATTGGTGAAATAACTAAATTTTAATACCACTTCCTACAGCAACTTGTAAACCTAAAAAAATTGCAATACTGCCATCTAGTGTTTCATAATGAAATTTTAATATATATATCTTTTCATTCAATTTACAGTGATTGCTTAAGAACCGAATGACTATAGGGGCTAGATTTAATAATTTGTTTTGTATTTTTGACGTTTATTTTACCAAACATGTACTTTAAATATCATAAATGGCTTCCTTCACTTCCTTCTATATTTAACTGCTTCTTTCTCCTTAGGGTTAGGATAACTGGAGAGGGTAGGATTTCAACCTAGTTATACCTCATTCGAAACCTTGTGTTCCTGTCATGGTACAGTACAGGAGGATTTAGTTCAGTTTGGGGGAAACTGAACTTTCCTCACTTTGATTATGTCCAACTCCTCTCTCCACAGGCATTTTTTTTTTAAATAAACTTTTTATTTTGGATCCATTTTAGATTTACGGAAAAGTTACAAAGATAGTGCAGAGAGTTCTCAGGGCCCCCTTACCATTTCCCCCACTGTCAACATTCCACATTACTAAGGCATGTACCCACGGGGTGCCTGCCACAGTGGTTTTAAGCCCAAGATCATGACTGTGAAATTTCAGAAACAGAAACTTGGGGAACCATAAGAGTGGGCTGGGGAAAGAAACAGGTTAGACAGGTATAGAAAAGATTAGGACTTGGTTTATCACGCTTCTCAATAGCCACACTGGAAGCTGGAAAATGATGAACTGTTTTCAAAATCCTGAGTGAAAGTTATTTCCATCATAAAATCTTGTACTAAAAAAACTGCATATCAAGTGTGATGTTAGACTAAGATAATCTTGGAACCACAGGGTCTGAGAACATTTATCTCCTATGCCCCCTTTATCAGAAAGTTATTTGAGAATTTGCTCCTCTAAAAGGGGAGAAGAAACAAAGAGGGCGAGAGACCAGGGGAGAGGTGCGGGGACTTCTCTGAATGATGTGGAAGTGATGGTGGATGCTGATAGCTTTGTTGTGGTCTAAAAAGTATACAGTGCGGAATGAAGCAAGAAAACAGAGTTGTCTGAGCAACTCAGAGATTTATACTTCTGTAAGAGTGTTTGGGTACGAATCAGTGACAGGTATAGAGAAAATTAAATATGTATAAAAGTGGGCAATTCATTAACCCCAGAAAAAGTAAAAAGTTGCACATAAGCAAGGCATACTACGTGGCTCAGCTTTGAACCATAAATAGTATAATAATGTAAGTATCAAACTTATTTAAACAGAAAAAGCAATCTTATCATGTTGGATAAATGAGGGAAGGTAGGGGAGAGGGAAAAAGAGAGAAGAAAGGTGAGAGAGAGAAGAGAGAGAGAGAGAGAGAGAGAGAGAGAGAGAATGCTAGATTCTTTATCCCTATATCCAGAGGTCAATAGTTATCTATTATTTGAAAAATAATTAAGAAGCAGTACCATCAGCTTATTACTGAAACAACATAGGAATAAATACCAGAAGACGTGGTTGAAAATGGTTATTTCTAGGGAGAAGGGATCAGTAATTGATAAGAATTGGTTAATGGAAAATTCTAGTAGGATTATATGACTTTTTAAAACAAGGTCCATGTTTTACATTAACAAGGAAAAGATAAGGTGCATGGGTGCCCTGACGAAGCAGCGACCTTGGTCAGCAGCCAGGCTAATTTGACTCTGTTAAATATCAGGAGTGCTGGGAGAAGAAAATATAATTGCTTGCTCTGTAAAAGTGTCTTAGATTCTCATCAAGGCTGTGGCCAGTCACGTGGGATGCTTTAATCGCTTCCCTTCTTGTTTGCACATGCAGAGACACCATTGGGGTGAGAGTTTACTTACTGTTTGCACAGTTGCTTGGCTCCTCTGGCTAAAGGGTGCTGGGCTCCTGTTAGCTGAAGGTTCTAACTGGCCTCCTCTGAAACCATGGCTTTCCCTGCAGGCTTTGGATGGGGTGCAGCCACAGCAGCTTATCAAGTGGAAGGTAGGAGAAGCTCCCTCCCTTTCACCAGGGCTGGAATGGATTACTCCTGGTGGGTTCCGTATGTCTGAGAAAAAGGTGGGGTAAGGAGGCAAAAAAAAAAAAAAAAAAAAAAAAAAAGGCAGGAAAGGATTGAAGAGTCCAGATGGATATGAAGTGAGACTGTGTCCTTTTTCAAACAGAAGAGGCTCACATTCCTTTGTCTCTTTCCTTAGGCACACGGGGTGCTGGGCTGAGAAGGCAGAGACCAAGCTGTAGCTATATTTTTGCTCAGTCAAGCTTTTCTGAGCATCAGTTTACACTGGACCAGCTGGTTTTGTAATTGGTGTCTTGAACACATTTGCTCCAAAGCTCCCTAAAAAAGAGAACAATTTCTCCTATTGGCTGGAAAAATATTGGGTAAATTCCTTCAAGGAGCCCTTCATTAGTTGGGAAGAGTGCGCTGTTCTATTCCTCGTTAGCACAAAATAAGGCTGAATCTCACATGTCGCCCTATTTTCTCGGGCATATGGGAAGCAGAGGGGAGCGACTATAAGATGGTAGAGAGCACCCAGGACGGACTTGAGGCCTCAGTTCTAGCCTTCATCCTCTCATGCATGAGCACATGAATCCATTATTCTCCCTGAGTCTCAGTTTCTTCCTCTGTAAAACAGGAAGATTAGATTCACTTTTTAAAAAAGCTCTATTTTCAATAGCCAAGAGCTGGAAACAACCTAAATGTCCATTGTCAGATAACTGGATAAGGAAAATATGGTATATTTACATAATGGAATACTACTCTGCCATAAAAAAGTGTGAAATTCTGCCATTTGCAGCAACATGGATGAACTTAGAGAAAATTATGTTAAGTGAAATAACATAATTTCACAGAAAGAGAAATACATGTCCTCAATCATAAGTGGGAGCTAAAAAATAAATAAATAAATAAAGAAAGAAAGATAGAGCAATCAATAATATGTTTAAATTTCAAAAGGTCAGAACACGTGGGAAGGAGGGTAGCGAATGAATTTTAAAGGGCCATGAAAATCGATTACATTGTATGATGTTGAATATGCTAATTGTCCTGATTTGAACATTTTACATGCAGGTATCGATATTCAATGCTGTACCCCACAGATATGTACAACCATTTTTCAATTAAAAAAAATATATATATTATTTTTTTCCTCAAAGAAATTAAGCTTTGTTAATACCTACCAAGGGGAAAAATGTATTTATTTGGTCAAATAAGTCTGTGAAATCCTGGCTTAAAAAAAAGCTATGCAAGTTTCTTGTACTAGTTTCCTAGGGCAACTGTAATAAATTATCACAGACTGTGAAGCTTAAACAAGAGAAATTTATTCTCTTACACTTCTGGAGGCCAGAACTAGCTATTTGAAGATGTAATTAGCTTAGTTAAGATGAGATCATTCTATAGCAGGGCAGGCCCTTAGTCCAATATGACTGGTGTCCTTATAAGAAGAAAGAAATTTGGACACACAGAAACATGAGGCAAACACCATGGGGCAAGAAAGGCCGGGACTGGAGTGGGGCAGCTATGAGCCAAGGAACTCCAAAGACTGACAGCCACCACCAGAAGCCAGGAAGAGGCAGCAAAGGATTCTACCTGAAGTCTCAGAGGAAGCATGGCCCTGTGCACACCTTGCATTTGGATTTCTAACCTTTAGAACTGTGAGAAAGTAAATTCCTGTCCTGTAAGCCCCCCATTTTGTGGCACTTTGTGACAGCACCCCTAGAAAACGAATGTGCCAACCAAAACAAGTAAATCAATCAATGAAATAATTACTACTTATGGTAAATACTGCAGTGACAATCGGATGCCGTGGTAAAGGGTCACGTAAAAGTGGCTACTTTAGGTTGGGTGGTCAAGGAGGAGCTCTGCGAATTAGTGTCATTTCATCTAAAACCATGTAGAAGACATCTCCTATGGGGGCCTATGTACATTATTATGCATACATGCTCTGCGATACACTAACATTTTAAATGAATGTCTGGGAATGTCCTGGTTAGCAGGGATTTCATGCCATCTTTCTTACTATATGGTCTCTTCTTTCATCTTCTTCCAAATCATCTCCACTTGTTCAGGGAAGGGAACTGCACAAGCTGGCCCTCTAGGAGTGAAAATAAGAGACACAATCTTAGCTAGTTCCCTTCTCAGAAAAGAGGTCAGACAGATTAGGGGTGAAGGGGGTGGTGGCAGAGCACTGGAACAGAGTGAGTAGAATCAGGTTCTAGAAGCAGCAGAGCATGGAGATTGATAAAGAGGGGCTCTGAAGCCAGACTCCTTAGATTTGGAGTTCATCTCTACTTTTTTACTGGCTTTGTGACTTTGGGCAAGTTCACTGAACTTCTTGGTGCCTCCTCATCTGTAAGACGGGAATTATATGGTATCTACTGTATAGCATAGCTATGAGGTTTAAATAAGATGATGCAGTTAAGTGCTAGGTGCTTAGTAAGTGTTCAATGTGGGGTATTCATATTGAGGGGTCACAAAAGTATTACTGAGAATGATTCACTATAGAACTCTACAGTTGAGAGAACTCTACACTTGATATAAATACAGAGTCACTCATACAAGACAAGGCAGTGGGTTTCAGTTACTGACTTTCAGTTTTTGCTCATTTAGGACCTAGAGGTTACCTTAACTCGCCCATTCTTAGTTCCTCTCTTTACATGATCTCAGTGTTGTTACACCTCTTCTGTCTGCCCGGAAGCAGTTTGTCCCATGCTTTTCTGCACTGGGCTGGCTTCTGCCTTATTGTAAGGTCTTTATTTGTGGCTTCTAACCTGCTATTAACTCTCTATCAACAGCTTTTAGGGTAGAGAACTTGATCTAACCTGCTCTGCCAAGAGCGTCAGCCTCCTATCTCTGTGAACTCACAGGTTGACTTTCCTGTTTGTTTTCCACCCTGCACACTCTTCCCTACCCTTTTGTGCTGTGATGGAATCCCAGCTTAAGCGATATTAGCGGAGTGACTTTGAGCAAATAACTTACAGAAGCTTCAATTTCCTTTGTTTGTAAAATTAGGAAAATGGTTGTGCTCACTTTGTAGATTTGTTCTGGGGATTTAAGAGGTTAGCATATGTAACTAGAACACAGGAGTGCCTGGCACATAGGGCTCACTAAATACTAATGCTAATACCAGTACTAACGTTAATACTAATTCCTATACTGTCATTATTTTTCATTCTCCTGGCTGCATCCTCTCCCACTCTGTACTGATGAGGATAGTTACATCGTCTGCTCCATTTAGTGGGAATGGTCAATTTTCGTTTTGATTCAAATTGGAATATACCTCCTCCTTGCTCCTTCTTGACCAGTTTTGCTAGTAGCTGCTTGGAGAGTTACTGTTTAACCATCCCTTCCACCATTGCCTGGATTGCAGTGCAGGAAGTCAGCATGCAGCTGCCTCAATTGGTACAGCCTGGGACTTAAAAGCTCTGTCACTTCCTGATTTTGATAATCTTTAAACTTTTGTACTGCCCTAGCCTCTGAAAGTCTATAGAACATTTGGAACTAACAGACACCCAGCAGAACTGGAGACTGAGTATGAATTTTATTTGCAAAGAAACAAATGTTTTGGTGCTTTGTTATACGACATTACCGTGTATCTCTTTCCACTAATTCTCAAAACACCTTTGTCTGGGTTGGTACATTTGTTTTCAGATACTCTCTGGAGAGCCCTGAGGGATACCTAGCTTACCATCCCCCACCCTCCCAACTCCTGCACAAAAAATAAAGATATTTTGGCTGTTACTTAGAATAAAAGGTCTTTGCAGTGGGGCCTACTGAGAGGAGCAGGGACTGGGCCTCCTGATCACGAGGCCGCCTGATTTTTGACTACTTGGTTTCATATTTCACCAGACCCATGGCCCTTCCTATCTCTTCTGCCTCCCCTCTGGCTACTTCACTGTTTATGAATTTAAGGAAGAGTTTAATGTTTATTCCATAAGATCTGGCTGTGTGGTGCCTTGAGCCTTTTGGAGGAAAGCACAATATATATCTAATAAATAAATAATAAATAAGTGTTATAAGAAGGAGGAAAATTATATGTTTTAGGTGAGTTGTAAAGAACATTGTAAAACCTATAAATGTATTTGTTAGACTAAGAGGCAAAGAAGAAAATGCGTTAATCATCGTACATACAGAAGTGAGTCTCACGTAGTGTTTTTAAGTACAGAAAAATTCCGCTGAATTTTTAACCGTTTGTGAAGTTGAGTCCGTCCCCTGCTTTTGGCTGGAGGGAATGTGAGACAAATAGTGGCGTTGTGTTTACTTTCTTGGTAGGCCATGGAGGAGCTATGAAAATGACATTTAGGACCCAATTCTACAGCTATTATGAGCTTATAACTCTCAATGATTTCGGGGAAGGCTCTTAAGGGGTGAACACGCTCTGCAAAATCCCACAAATCCTCAGCAAAGTCTAAACTACTCTGTGGATGTTTCCTGCTGGGATCTGAGCTTGTGGTTCCTAAACAGGCAAAGCCCTCAGTTTTATGAAAGCCATTATGAAACCCTTACTGCTGCAGTGGATACTAATTTAATGTTTGATTTTGACTTAACTTTGACATTGGTTTTATGCTGGCAGAAATTGGGGGTTGCCCCAGATTTTGGCTATCTCTGTTTGCCTTAGTGTGACAAGGTGGAATCCTATAGTTATGACACTTGGGGTTGTTTTGGCATTAAAAAAGCAGAAGAATGAACAGGGTAGCTGTATTAGTTGGTTTTACGTTGAGTTTATGGTGATTCTGTATAGGCTGTTTCTTCTTTGGTCCTTTTTTTAAAACTCAGCCGGTGCACACAAACCTGAGCTAGAGGCACGCTTTATCCACCTGCTGTAGATATCAGCACAAGTCCCATATTTCTCTAAACCACTTCCTGTTTGCTTTCTCCACTCAACCAATTTCAGCTGTGTGTCTTGGTCTGGGTTTCTGCTGAACCCTGTGGATTAAACATTTTAGTTTGGGACTTGCTCTCCTGGCTGCTCTTGGTACTCTTCTAA